AAATTACAATGAAAACTAAATTTACGAGATCAACCATTGTTGTCACCTACCAAACATAAAGCACACAATAAAAAAATAATAATAATAAAAAAAATAAAAAATCATAATCTTGTCTAACTTACCGGATCAAGCTAAACAATTACCTATTTATTTTAATTGGTAACTTGTTTTAGATATTTTAGTCATGATGAATTCTGAGTATAATAAGATTTATTTTGATTGGTAACTTTTAAGAGAAATAAAAAAATTCAAGAATTCAAGTTACATAAAAATATAAAATACTTTCATCATATTTCTGAGAAATAAAAAATAAATCACAATACAAAGTAAATTTATATGATCAACCATTGTTGTCACCAATCAAACTTTAAAAAAAGAATGAAAAATAAAATACTTTCATGCTGCTAATGAGAAAATAAAAATAAAAACTAAAGAAAAAAAACATAATCCTAATGAACTTACCAGATGAAGCACGATTGTCGCATCCTGGGAGAAAAATCTGAACACCAATTACAAAGAAAAAATGAGCAAATACAACAGAGGTAAAAATACAGGGAAAAAAAATATTTTCATGATACTTTGAAAATAATAAAAAATAAATCACAATGTAAACTAAATTTACAAGATAAACCATTATTGTCACCAATCAAAAATAAAACACACAGAAAAAAAAACTAAAAAAAAAATCATAATCCTATCTAGCTTACCCTATCAAGCTAAACAATTATCTATTTTATTTTAATTGGTAACTTATGTTGACTTATTCTTTTTCTTAAAATCTTGATTATTTTACATTATTTCCTATTAATAGTTAGTTTTATTTTTCAAAGTGCAAAATATAAGTTGTGAAAAACAATGGAAGCTATAATGCCAGCCATTATGAGAAGTTTTTATTACATTTCAAAGTCTCGCTCAAAATATAAAAATTCCACACCTTGTGATCGAGTACTTCACAAGGCATGGAATTTGGGGGGCAATGTTTATATCCTCAATATTAGCCACTGGAAAGGTGACATGTGGCAAGTTCTATAAGACGTGCCACACTGGATCAATGTCCCACAATTTCCTAATGATCTGGGAAATAAAGATTCATGAAAATATTACTATACATGCAACCTTACTCAATTATTCAAGGTAAGACTCATGTAATTTTTCAGCTACTGCCACATAGAGTTTATGAGATAATGGTGTTCTTAAACCAAAAAGAGAATAACACATGGCGAGTTTCATGGAAGTTACCATGGTGTATCAATCATTTTGAGAATTAGGATTATAGAAGGAAGCCTTTGGGATAACACTACATGTTATCAAAATCCTTAAGCAAATGGAAACTTCTAACATATGGCAACACCTAAGATTTTGCAAGGTGAGTTGACCAAGTAAAAAAGGAAATTGGGAACATGGTTCTACAATTTCTCCTATTTTGTAGGGATATTCTAACAACCATACAACCATAATGGCTTGAAAAGATGTCTAGGTTCATTGAATTTTGGGAGTCATGCTGAATCATAGCAGACTTCTAGAAATAGGAATATGGGTGACAAATCAGAAAAGGGAGGAAGTTGAATATATATATATATATATATATATATATATATATGGTTAGTTCATGCATATAGGAGGAAGTTATTCGATCGTGGGGTACTTTATGATGAGGAGATGTGCTAAGAAAGAAGTTCAGCCAAAAAAGGAGTTACTAAGAATTGAGAGGAATGAGATATATGTGTATAATATATGCAGCATAGAATTTTATGAAAGGAAGGACTCTGTGCATGAGATGGAGCATTCAAGACATGGGACACTTGGCAGCTTGTAAGCATGCTAGGTGTAACTTGTTAGTTTTTCCATACAACTGTCATTACTAACTGATAAAAGTTGTTATGATCATGGACAACGTGACTAAAATGCTGGTACAATGTGTCTGAAATAAAGAAGAAGAGTCTATGCACGTTAAAGAATAAACAAAACGTGGGACACATGGGATCTTATGGAAAGGCCAAGTGGAATGATCAACTCCAACTAACACAAAAACTATCCACTACTCAGAATTATGGAGATTTTTAGGGAATATGGTGGAAATAATGTATCAAGGAGGTTTTGAAAAAGGCAAGAAAATGGGAGAAAGTGGATGCAAAACAAAGGGAATTACAAAGAACATGGGACACTTGGCAGTCCAAGGACAAGCCATGGAAGTTTCCAATTGTTGCTGGAACTGCAACTTTTCCATTTGGGCAGTTCCAGAACATGAGAAAATGCTTGTAACAAGCATTCAACCAGCAAAATTACTCCTTCAAAATTGTAACTTATGAGACATCATGTTTTTACACATGTCAATACTGTGAGAAGACTAAAGTAGACATGGGACACGTGGCATGATCCGGACCTTCCAGGTGGAAGTTTTCAACTACTGCAGAACCGTCGCCTTTCCATTTGGGGCAGTTCCAGAATGTGGGAAAATGGTTATAATGTGGAAAACAGAAAAGATGTCACCGTATGCATTCAACCACCAAGACCACTATTTATAAGTTGTAGATCATGGGAGAATATGATTTTATACATATCAACACTATGAGAAAATTGGAGAAGATCATGGGACACTTGGCAGCCCAAGGACAAGCCAAGTGAAAGCTACTAGAACAGCCATATTTCCAACTGCTGCATGAGAAGCTCTATAAATAGAGCACTTAGACCTATAATGCAAATCATGTTCAACACACACAACATCTTTATTTATCAATTTCATTTCATGTATCTTTACATTTAAGTAATGTATTTCAGCTATGTTTAATACAAGTCCAACACTTTCTTTTCCTACTTTTCAACAAATAGTTCATAGTTCTTCTAATTGCAAGCCCTGCACTTTCAATTACGTTTTTCTTTCCACTAGCTATAGAACAATCTCGAAGTCCTTTTTCAAGGCAAAAAAAAAAACCCTTGGAAGTGGTCATTCCAAGCTTCCTTTCAATCGCCTAATCCTGACAACTTTCCATTGAAATATTGTTTAAAGCTCTTTTTTGAAACGACAACAGTTTCTGACACGCCCGCAACTCCCTCCTTTCCACTCACCTGGAAAGGAACCCGATTTTTAAGACCCACATAAATAATAATAAATAAATAAATAAAATAAGTTATACATCATACTACTGTGTGCCACTTTAAATCAAAACTGTTTCAAGAAGTTTCGTTCCCCATTTTTCTCTCCACCAAAATCACAATTTCTATTATTTTTTACAAAAGCAATCGCGTAGTTCTCTCCCATTTCCAGCAAAATTGGGTCTTCAATATCACTTCTCTTCATCATCCATCGATTGCCATTAACAGATCACAAATAGGAGTAATCTCAATTTGGTTCAATTTTGTGTGAGAAAATTGAGGTTTGACTGAGAACGATGAGAAAGTTTGAGAAAATTAAAAAAATGAGGATGCAGTGAGTGAGTTAACAAAGCCTAATCATACTGTGGATTTGCATTTCAGCACATAAAATAGAAAAGTTAGCAGAAAATACAAAGAAAACATATTATCTCTTTAAAAAAATCAATTAAGAAGAACTAGGGATAAACCTAAAATGATGCGGAAAACACCCAAACCCCTTATACGTTCTAAAAAGTCTCTAACATTCATTTTTGGAGCAAACAAGAACCTGAATGCTAAAAAAACTAAAGTGTTCCTCTATAATTGAATAAAAAAATAGGTAAAAAAACTAATTAAATGTGAAATAACTTAAGTGTCCTTTTTATATATATAATATAGGGTTGCGGGCCAAAAACATCATTATGGTATGCATATAGAGTTTATAACCCCATATACGTTCTAAACCTCCTTAACATTCAATTTTTGTACAAACAAGGACCTGAATGCTAAAAAGGCGAAAATCTCCCTCTACAACTGAATAAAAAATAAGTAAAGAAATTAATTAAATGTGAGAAGTGTGTGTGTGTGTGTGTCTATATATATATATATATATATATATATATATATATATATATATAGGGGTATTATCAAAAGAAACAATGGGATATTTAAAATTTTATATCTTAAAAATGTCATGTGCAATGCATATGAATAAATTTTTAACGAAACAATGATATCAAGCTATTTCTTACATTTTTTCAAACTTAACGGACTTATATACTTAAAATAAAAGATGGGGATGTTATTTGTCTAAAATGTAAACATTAGGGGTGTTTTTCTCACTCTGCTTTTATAAGGATATTACAGGAAGAGATAAGGGAATTTTCGAAATTTTATATCTAAACAATAACTTCAAGCCTTTTTTTGCTCATTTTTAAAACTTAACGGACTTATATATAAAACATAAGCCCTTCTTTACTTATTTTTTCAAACTTAATAGAGTTATATACTAAAAAAAAAAACATAGGGATGTTATTTGCTCAAAATGAAAACTTTAAGGATATTTTTCACTTATCCCAAACTAAAATTACGTGAGAGAGAGCTACGCGCGAATTAGTTGCCGGAAAACCCCCCACATTCAGTCAGGTTACTTTCTTTTGCATGCCCTTTGCCACCTCCTTTTTCTGGGCCTAAATTAAATAATGCAAAGATTGGGCCAGCAGATGTCCAGCTACCTTGAACTAGTTGGGTTTTCTTTTGGCCCACCATTATGTGGGAATCTAAAGGGAGTCTATAATATACACCTTGTTACTTTTTGGGTGAGTTACCTTACCTTGTTTTGACAATTTCTTTTGTTAGATGCGCATTAAAGTTTGTACATTCTTTGTTAGCCACTCCGGTCATACTAATAGCAGCAGAGACAATTTTTGCACTCATAAGTGTATACTTATTTATTTCCATAATAACTGGTTTTATTCTCTAATGATAGACATATAGTCATTTCCAAGATACATAATGACAAGAGCACATAATTCTTGGAATTTATTTTTCAACAAGCTCTTAATTTATTCATCTCTTATGCAAATTAAGTAGTGGTAGAAAAGACTATTCCTAACCACACAGTTGCAATGTGAGTGTGACTTAATTGATCAGTCACCGCAATTCACGAACTGGTAGTTCACTATAAGATGCCCCTGAGCATTGCCCTTTCCATCTGTGTCTAGTTTCTGGAACACACCGGCATCCAAATCTAGCCCTCCGTTGCTACATTGATCCACAATCCTGACCGTTGCTTGAGCTCCGGTGCCAGTGTTTGTAACCTGCGCATATCATTCCAAGAGTTGTGTCAATTTATACTTCTTAATTTGGTTCCTTCATCAGTGTTTGCTATATTGTTGTTTAACTTTGAAGACGAAAAAAATAAATAAAAAATTACAAAAAATTAAAAATTAAGTATTCACAAATGACGTATTATCATGGAGAAACAAAAACACAAATGGTTGTTTCATGGCTTACCCTCAAACACTTGCCACAGGCTGCCTGGCCACGAGGCCCGACCGGGCCACAGAAGGCGGTCCAGCCATATTTGCTCCGCCATGCCAAGGGCTTATTAGCATCCCAGGTGGAACAATAAGCGCTAACAGCAGTCAAGGCCCATCCATTCTGCTCAGGATTATAGTAATGGTATGTGGCTCTCACATTAGAAGCACTCTCACCCACTGCCATTGCACCAACAATCACTAGACTAAGTGAGAATACCATGCATATTAAAACCTTCCCCATTTTTTTGACAAAGAATGGTGGAAGAATGGCTTCGATATATATAGAGGAGGGATTGGTGTGAAATTACAAAATTACCCATAAATCAGATTAATTTGTCACATTAAATTTGTTAATGGGAAAATTGGGATGCCTATGCTCGTGGTTGCAGACTAGTTAGTCCATCTGCTTCTGGGATAAAGACTAAATTTGGGACACAGAGAGGCAGCTGATAGAGGGTCAAAAGTGCATCTCATTTGTGTCATAAAGTCAAAAAAATATTGCTATTTTACTTGGACCGTCTTATCTGATGGGAAATTTCATGGCTACATAGATGACTATACAGTATATATATATTCTCAATTTTCTTTAGTAATGAGAAAATAAAAAACAATAATAAATTTTTTTATTTTATTTTTTCAGAGACTAATCGTTAGGTCAGCTGATATAATTTCTCTACCTTCAAAAAATAGTTAGGAATTTGTGTTTCATAGTGGACATTTTTGAAAGTGTACAACAATTTATCTAAAAAAATAGATAGTATTGAGTGTCCAACTTGTGTGTATATATTTTTGTTGCGCAAATGGCGGATGAATTGGTTGAATATATAGAAATTGTATTCATGTGAAATTATCGAATCACCCACAAATTGGATGAATTTCATAGGAATTGTGTTCATGGTCAATTTGTCAAGTCCTCCTGGTTGCAGTCTTTATCATCCTTCTGGAATATGTGATGACTTTTTGATTTGGTGATCAATTTGGAGACGGTTAACCTTAGACACTTGACTATAGAGAGGGGAAGAGATATTCATGAATCCGTACTGGTGTCACGGCATTGTTACTCTCTGGCCATCAAGTCAAACAAATGTAGCTTGTCTTCTTCAACTTCTTCTGGTTTTTTTTTTTTTAACAGTAATTGAACTCAATGTGTTTATTTTATATTTTTAATTTTTCTTAGTGTAATATTTGCCAATAAGACATGCTATTTGAATCTTGAATAATACATTATTATTACATTTATATATTTCAAATTATTATGTTGTTGCATAATTTGTATTGTTAGTTGTTATGTTATTACGCTTAAAATGCCTCTCTTAAAATAGATTCTTGATTCCCTCACTATTTTTTTATCGAAATTATCATGCATTACTAAATCAATTGAGATTAATTAAATCAATGAAATACAGAAAAATTGTCGAGCGTGGCATATAGATAATGAGACTATAAGTTTATAATCCATCACTTTCAAAATATGAAGATCGGTCGAGGATAATTGCAATTGTATTCCATCAAAATATTACATATAAATATTTTAGTTCAAAATATTCGTTAAGTAAATTTTTTTTTTTTTTTTACTACTACTTCTTAATTAACGTATTATTTTACAATGATTTTTTATTTTCTTGTTAACCGTTTGATTTGAGCAATATATGTTTTTCATGCTAGTTGAATTGTTTTTTTTATCAACTACATTGTATCCCCTAATATGAGGCTCTATTGATTGAACTTGCGGTATAACGAAATCACGCCCGTGTCAATGTAACATAACAAAATCGGTTATTGCACCGATTTGGTGAATCCACTAAACCCAAACCATCATGTCTTATATCTGATTTGGAAGATTCGAAACAATTCAGATCAGGCCGAAGCCCAAGTAAATATAATTTAGTCCAAAAATAATATTGGCTTAGGAGATGCAAGCCCAAGACCGGATCGGGTTTTGTGCATGTGTGTTCAGGGGTGGCAAAAATCCCCAATTCGGTGGGGAACATCCCCGCCCCCGCCCCATTTAAAGCGGGTTTGAAGAACCGTTTACTTAAATGGGGTGGGATGGGGGTTAAAAAAAAAAAAACTTGTCGGTTGCGGGACGGGGGCAGGGGACTAAGATCCCTGCCCCATACTCGCCCTATAACTGTCCCGTTTAATATTTTAAATTATTAATTTATCCTACCATGTTAATATATTTACCAAATTAACCTTCACTCTCTCTCTTTCTCTCTCTATATTGGAAACCCTACACTTAACACTTTCATATATATATATATATGTGTGGGTGTGTGTGTGTGCTATGATTGTGTTTAAATAAAAATATAATCGGTTATGGGGCGGGTGATAGGGTGGGAGCGGGGCAAGTGGGGTGGGTGATGGGGCGGGGGCAGGGCAAGTGGGGTGGGGGCGGGGGCGGTTACGGGAATTAGAGGCAAAAAATTAACCGGTTATGGGGGCGTTTTGGGGGCACCAAAATTAAACGGGGGAGGGGATGGGGAATGGGAAACCCGCCCCAAACCGCCCTATTGCCATCCCTATGTGTGTTGGATGGGTTTAACCCAACTTGAGTTAGGTCCTCCCCCTCCACAAAACTTGGGTGCGTTAAATTTTTTCACATACATATAGTGTGAGAAAGTGCATTACAATATAATTCATTAAAGATAAATTCTGAGTGAATTTTAATAATTTTTATTAAAATTTTCAAAATCAATTAACACAAGTAATAATCTAGTAATGAGTAAAGATAAACTAAATTATAATCCACAACATATACTATAACATATGAGAATTAAGAAAAACAAAAATTAAAATTGATAATTTAAATAAAATACAAAAGGTATATGATTTTTTCCTGTATATAAAATAATTTTTTACATTAAATTTTATGATCAATTTTTATTATGTAGTTTATAATATTGAGCAATTGAAGAGTGAATTTTTAGTTAAATAAAAAAAGTATCAGCTCATGCCAAACTAAATATGATATTTTAATTGATTTCATTGAGTTAGAGAATCAAAAATTTCTCATAATCTTATTTGAGAAGAGAATCTTGAAAATGATAAGGTATTGATTTAATGTGTTGAGGTCATGTGAATAAAAATTAATTATGTTAAAATTGGGATTAAAACCTCTCATTTAAGTTAGAACTCATTATACATGTCAGTCCATCCTATATGTTGTGTTCGGTAGGAAGGAATGAAAAGGTGTGGAAAGAAAATAAGAAGTTTGGTAGATATATATGATATAAGAAAAGAAAGGAGAGTAAGAAGGATGACCTATCTTTAACATCCTTTACAAATTTTCTTCCGCCCAAAAACGGGCGGAATAAATAAGAGACGACAAGAAAATTATTATAAAAGTTTTAAATTAAATACTATCCTCTATAAATTACAATATTATAAATATTATCGGATATAATAGTAAAAAATCTCTCTCTAACGAATATAGTAGATTATAAGTTTATTATCTTCTCTTCTATCCAATCTAACAAAAAGAATGAAATACATAGTATCTTCCCTACGAATGTCTCTTCCATCCCCTCTTCGCTCTATTCCATTTAATTTTTTAATTATTTTCTTTCCTACTAAATAAAGCAATTGTGTAAGGAAAAATATGCCGGATGAGTTATACACACACATATATATATAAATTAGGGGGAAGTGGGACTCGAATTCAAGGACACATATTTGTAAAGTTGAACGCTCTACCAATTAGACAATAAAATGAGTTATATTAAAACGACTTAAAAAAAAAAAAATCACATCGGATTGCAAAAAATAATAATAATAAATAAAATTGTTTACAAACTCCGCGAGATGGTCCAATTTTGGACTACAAGGTTTAACCAGCTCATTTGGCCAAATTTTAGAGTAATTCGCTCAGCTGTTCCAAAGAAGGCCGGATCGTGGCTGGGTCCTAGGCTTTATTCTCTTTTATTTTAACTTCTACCTTCCCAAAATATAAAATAAAAAATCTAACGGGTAGAAACACAAAGCTCTCGCTTGTCGCCCTTGTCATACACATAAAATAATATTAATAACAACTTGAGCTCATAATTCATATTGTTTTATTATTTAACAAGTTCTTAGGCATTGATTTGTTTCGCAAATTTAGATATTTGGTAACTTTGAACACCAATAGCAATTGAGTATTGTTTGATTTATTTATTTATTTATTTTTTTGTAACGAATAATCAATCGCCACAGTTCACGAACTGATAATTCACAATAAGGTGGCCCTGGGCATATCCTCTTCCATCCGTGTCTAGTGTCGTGAACACACCGGCATCCAAATCTAGCCCTCCATTGCTGCATTGATCAACAATCCTGACCGTTACTTGAGCCCCGGTGCCTGTGTTTGTGACCTGCCCATATCATTTCAACAATTTTGTCAATTTCTTTTAATTTGTCCCATCATATATATTCACATTGACACATCTATGTTGGTTTTCTATTTTGCTTCTAAAGTTACAAAGTTCAAACAATGTTGTCAATTTTAAAGTTAGATAACATGATCTTAATAAGATTTCATGATATTGTTCGTTTGTTTTAAAAATATGATATGAAAATGATATATAACAGCCCCACTTAATTTCATCTTACCAAAAGGGCCTTGTAAATTGAAAGGAAACTTATAAGTTTATTGATGAGTGGTTCTACATGAAATGGGATAAATTTTACCCTAATTTGTGTAAGTACCCTAATTTGTGTGTATTATTTTTATTCACAAAATTTGTGTAATTTAATATAATAAGTTGATTCCAAATAATTGTTTTTTGTAACTATTATGAAAAAAAACTTGCATAAAACCAAAAGCCAATAAAACCATAGGCAAAAATGAACGGGGCTAATTAAATACAGACCGACCAATCACAAGAATGATAGGTCCCACCAATTTTTAGAATAATTTGTTCGTCGAAAATTCAACTCGCTTTATAATAAATGAAGAATAACTTTATTCAGAATCTATTTTCTAAGTCGAGACGTATAGCTCAACGTTTTTATTTTTTTGATGCGGTAGATATATAAAATGCATGCTTGGCTCTCTATTTACCACATCAAAAAGGATTAAAACCTTCGGTTAAACACATAGGTTTAAGAAATCGGTTAGAATATAAATTATTCATAAATTAAATGTTAGAGATTGTTCGTAGAGAGCTTACACTTAAACACTTGCCGCAGGACGCCTGGCCAGTCGGCCCAACAGGGCCACAAAAGGCGGTCCAGCCATACTTGCTACGCCATGCCAAGGGTTTGCCAGCATCCCAAGTGGAGCAGTAAGCACTAACAGCATTCAAGTCCCATCCATTCTGCTCAGGATTATAGTAGTGGTACGTGGCTCTCACATTAGTAGCACTCTCTCCACCACCACTGCCACCGCCGGAGTTGCAATTGCTTTGACAGTTATTGGAAGGTAAACAATAGTCATTGGTTGTACCACAGTAACCATATTGGCTACAGCAAAGGTTGGTGGCACAGGTTGCGCCACCGGCTTGCTGGCCACATTGTTGGGCCGTGGCAACAGCAGCCACTAGACAAAGTGAGACAATCGTGCATAGGAATGACTTTCCCATTTCTCTGTGTATTGATTTTTGGTTTGTGTGAAGTATGGTGGGAAAATTGCTTCAATTTATAGAGAGAGAGAGAGAGGGGTTTGATCGATATGTATAAAATTCTTAGATTTTGTTTATGGTCAATTTGTGTTTTCCTTCCGCGGCTGCATTGGTATGTCTAAAAGTCAACACTATTGACTAATTAATTTAATTGTAGATCATTTTCTGCGGACACACAGAGAGGGGATGCTTATGGATGATGTTAAAGAATGCAACTGATGTATCTCACCCTCTCGCGTAAAGTCAATGTAGCATATGTTTTTTTAATGGAAATTTCCAGCCTCCAAAAAAGACCATACGACAAAAGTAAATAAATACCTATTTTTACATGTTATATAAAAAATGTGAAAAAAAAAAACGTCCCTGTTATTTAATATATACCTATAAATTTCTAACATTTCAAAATATGTGCAAATTGCCCCTATTTGCACCCCTAATATATGTTGACCATCAATTTTGACTATTTTTTTTTGAAAAAAAAACCCAAAATAAGCATAATATATCTTAAAAATTGAAATCAATTATTTATTTTTTGTCTTAAGAGCATTTTAAGTATTTCAATCTTCAAATTGATAAAATATCTTTATTTGTCCATTTGAAAAATGTAGTTTTTTTTTTTTTTTTTAACACCAGGGATGATTTGCACATTGTGTATAAAGTAATTTTGTGCACATTACTCTAAAAACAATGTTTTGTTTGGTTGGAAAGGAAGAGGTTTCTCTCGTTTGTCTGCAAGGAAATAAAGAGAGGAAAAAGAAGGAAAGGATGGACCATCCCTCCTTGCCCACATTTTTCATCCTTCCAAAACTTGATGGAAGAGAGAAGGAAAAGAGAAAAAATTATTGCATAAATATGAAATGCCATTTTTACCCTACAAATACTAACCAAATTACTTGATATTAGTTTATATAAAGCCTATTTGGGTTTGATCGGGTTGTTTTGGTTGTCCAAAATTTTAAATCAAGGCAAGTTTATTAAGTTATCTAGGTAAATAGAACATACTAATACAAACCAAAAAACACATAATCTATCTATGCATTAAACAATTCCACTGTGTTCGTATAACTTGTAGATACAAGTGTACCATGTTACATTAACTTGTAATAATATCACAAAAATAATATCATATTAAACATCTAAAATTTATGAACTTTTTTGTACTTCTGGTTGCTTGGACAGGAGAAACTCTTGCCCAAGTACCGCTCAAAAGGAATTGTATTCAATGGCGGAATTTTTACTATACCTAATTTTAGCACAGTTTAAAAACAAAAATTTGTATCATTAGTATTAGTCTACTCAAAAAGACATTAGCCAACCCTATGGACAATTCTTGAATCAGATCTTGATTGTGTTCATGGTCAGTTTTAGATCTACCCACCCTCTAGTCAAGTCCTCATGGTTGTAGTCTACTGTCATCCTTCTGGAATATTTCTAAACTTGCAGATTTAATGATCAATTTGAAGACGGTACGTCAACCCTTGAAACTTGACTAAGTCAAAGTGCATATTGGCCATTCGAACATTTTCTCCAAATAATAGGTGCTTTGCTGTCTGGATAGAATTTTTATATATACATATATTAATGGTACTACTAATTTACCCACAAAAAATGGTACTAGTAAAAAGTATTTGTGTCATGGTGTAACAACATCATTTGATTTATATTGAATTTAGATGAGAAAGTGATTGCATATAAATGGGTGGGTATACAGCACTACCTAATAGTTTGAATTTTTTGGTAAATGGACAAGCACTCACTCGATACTGTTGGCATCAGAGCCAGACCAATCCTTAATTCGGTGTCACGCCAAGCGCTCAGCCCAGAGGGTGTCCAAGTTTGCAGTTTGGATTGATAGGGTGGCCCGAGCCACAAAGAGGGTTTTGCGAGTTTAGATGTGGGAAAATGTAAGAAGGTTCATTTGTTCCACATCAAATCCGAATGAAAAAATGATTGGGTTTAAATGAGTGGGTATCAGGGGCAAAGCCAGGATCTGAAAGTGGGGGGCTTAAAAACAAATTTCAAGCAGAGGATTTACTGGGGAAAAAAAAATTCAAACAGAGAAGATGATAATGATAACAACAACAAATTCAACAATATTGATGAACATTTAAATAATGGTAAATCGAGGCCGCATATGAAAAATCCTTAATTGTAACTAATTTCAGTTAATGACTCAAGTTTGATGTAAAACACCAGTATTAATACGGGTCCGAGTCTGCACTGGTGAATTTGAATTGGGTATAATAGATATGTATCAATACATCAAATCTCTTTTAAGAGAAGACTGAACACCGTATTCAAATTCACCAGTGCAATGACTATCTCAAGATGCCTATTTTTGATGTCATTAAACAAAACTGGAAGTTTCAAACCAATTAGTCGAATCAAAAGCATGCAAGAGTGGCATCATCAAGTTTTGAACCAATAAGCAAACGAATCAAAACGCAATAAGATCTAAGAGTGAATCTAAACCCATAAGAATCAGAAGCAAAATGAAAGAAAATCAAAACAATTTTTGGGTTCACTAATAAGTGAATGACAAAGAAAACGCTATTGAATTGGGAAGGAGACAAATGGACTACGATATCTTTACATTTAGAGAATCTAGAAATGGGTTCCTAGAGTATGTCTTTGTTTCAACTGAAATGAATGGACGCAATTCGTCCATGTGTTGGTCTATAATGGTTGGTCCGGCCAAATGGGTTTGGCCTTGTTTGGACCTGGACTCCATTTATCATTTATGTTTTATTATAGATTGGACAACTTGAACTGGGTATGGCTAATTGGGCTAGACTATGGTTGATAGGAAATAGTAGTACTATTATTATTATTACATTTTTTTTTTTTTTGACTTAGGCTGTAGCTTAGCCCACAAATAGTTCCGCCCCTAACAGCTTGAACTTTTAAGTAAATAGACAAACATTCATTCATTACACATAGTATGAAACTCTCTAGCCATCGAGTCAAATAATAATAAAAGAGTAGTGATAGAGAAACCGAACGTTTCTACCGAGATAAAGAACGAATCTTACGTGGCTTTGTCCACATCAAATAATTTCATTACCTAAATCCTTAACATCGATCTTTTTCTTTCCCAGTTTTTCCTTTTTCTCTCTCTTCCTCTTCGTTCTCTCTCCTCTCCGTGTCTGGTTCTTCACAAATTCTTCTTATACAGCTCCTCTCTTGAGATACACATAGCGGAAGTATTCTAGAGACAAGATCCAAAATTCTTTATCCTCGCTCCTTTTTTAAGATCACCTACTTTTCTCTATTCATAAATTTTCCAAGAATAAATCTTTCCAATTCCAGATGAAAACTATGCAGATTTTTTTTTTTTTTTTTGGGTAAGTAAATATCCCCATAAGAGTTGTCATTAATACAGAGAAGAGAAACGGATGAATCTTCTCAAAGTGTCTATTTGATTTTTATGGATACAAAATCTGAAGGAGAGAAACAACAGTTGTAGCTTTTATTTTCTTTTTCTTTTTTTGTACTGTTTTGGTTTTGTGATTCTGTATTTGCAAAACATGAAGAAATTTAATTTTTTTTATTTTATCTTCAATTTTACGAAATCAAAAGAGCGACAAAACCAAAATTAAAGATAAGATTAAATACAAAAGAAAAATCGAGAATTAGAGGAAGAGAGGAGAGAGGAGAGATGAGAGAGAAGGGAAGAGGTAGGAGTTATCTTTTTAGAAAATAATCTGACGTGGCTGAGCCACGTTAAATTCGACCTTTTATTCGGTTGTTTGGTTCGGTTCTCTTATCATTTCCCATAATAAAATAATTACGGTTCGTTTGGTTAGGTAGAACTAGCAAGAAAAGAAAAGAATTAGAAAATATTTAAATTTTTTGTGCATTTGTTTAGAATGAAACGAAAAATGTTAAGAAAACTGGATTCTCGTAAATAACTAATTTTCTTTAAAACGATTCCTATATAAAACACACGAAAATTTTTATTTCTCGGGAAAGTTGTTAAGTTATATTTTAAATTCATATTATACCTATAATTATCAGTTGGATAACTTGTGTTTCCTTTATCTTTTTGTCCCTTTTTATAGACATTTTTTTTTCAAATGTAAATGAAATCATGAAATTGGAGAGATCTTATTTTTAGCAATTTTTTTTTAATCTATTTTTATTGCTTTATTCTTTTTTTCCCTTTTTTTTTCTTCTGTTTTTTTTTTCGCTTCCAAATACGCATATACATATAACATATTCATATTATGGTGGATATTTTTTAAGTGCATTATATTAATTTTCAATATGTGTATATACATATCAACTATGTTTTAGAATTTTGATACTAGAGTTATTATAAATTTTACGAAATATATACGTTCCTTAAAAATAATAATACAAAATATTTTATAGTTATATAATTCTAGTTGAATTCAAAAAGAAAACCCTCATAAACTTGGTTGTTATATGTAAAATTCTATTGGTTTTGGTTATTCTATTGGTTTTGATGCAGAATTAATTTTACTCAAATTTATTTATATTTTTAGTATTTAAAATTATAAGGGCAATTTTGACAAGTACAATTATTTTTTTTTCTCTTTCATTCTATCCAAACTAACAACATAATATTTTCTCACAACTTTCTTGAAAAAATTTCATACTAACCAAATGCACTATAGAAATTTAATTTTCTTTTCCTTCACTTCACTTTCTTTCACTTTCACTTTCCACCATCTATTTCCATCTAACCAAACAGACCCTTAGCGTATCCTTTACTCCTAGCTTGTCTGAATGAAAAAATTGAAAGGCTCCAAAAATGACTAGATACACAGTCTCTCTAAGTATTGAAAAAGGAGAAAAAAAGAATTACGTCTTTTCTTTTAGCCATTGATACTCCACTTTTGTGTGGATAAAAACTGTCATTGTCACCAATTTGTACACTAAAAGTTTTAAGCGTATCTGGGATTGAGTTCCATGCAATTTGTTGAATGATTTGTGTGATGAGATATGATTTTAAGATTTTAGAATTCTCTATCCAGTGAGAATTCAGTCCCAGCTTTGCTAGAATTTTGAGCAAGAATCCCCATTCAATTCAATACGGTCGTAGGCTTTTCTCAAATCAAGTTTAAGAGCACCATGTACACCTTCTTTCTTGTCCCTTTTTTTAAAAAATAATGGAGGAACTCATGAGTGATAAGAATATTATCCGTTATATGTCGCAACAAAAGTGCTTTGGAATTTGTTAATGATATTATCACCAAGACATTTCAATCAATTAGTCATAACTTTTGCGATAATTCGGTATGCAGTATTACATAAAGAAATTGGTCAAAAAAAAAAAAAATCATAATGGGAGATTCAATTAATTTTAAGAATAAGAACAACATTTGTATGATTGAAATGGGAAAGCAAATACACAGATTGGAAAAAGTTATATACAGTTGCTACCATGTCACCTTTAATCACCTCCCAATATCGTTATAGAATAATGAAGTCATCCCATTCAGCTCATTGAAAGGAGCCATTCCAAAGACAACTTGTTTGACGTTAAGCACCGCCGTAAGTGGCGCCAACAATGGTTAATTCATCTCAGGGGATATTAGATAGGGAATGTATCTAAAAAACTGATCAATGCCAGTAGGATTTTGAGACGGAAATAATTGTTGGTAATGTCTCAAAAAACATAGATGGATTGTGCTATACTCTTCTTGCCACACACCCTGTTCATCCATGATACCAGATATAGAGTTCCTAGCCCTTCGTCTCTTTGTAGCAGCATGAAAGAATTTTGTACGATAAGTTCTAAAACATTATTGTACGTATTCTTTTAATTAATTATAAATAAGTTCTTAAGAAATTAATTTTTCAAACTGTCCACTTACAATAAATTATGATTTAAATAAAAGAAAATGAAAAGAGAAAGTTTATCACAACTTGAATATTATATATAACATATTTAAAATAAAAATTTAAATTTGAGTCGAGTTCAAATTGATAATACCTTAACCTAAATCCAATTTTAATTAAATTTGAATTGAGTTTTTTTTTTTATAAAGATCACCCATCTAACCTTGTTTAAAATATTATTGCCTAAGCTAGTGACAAATTGGATAGTCATGGGTTGGATTCTGGTGGGCCCATTCAAATTGCACCCTGGCACAACTTTCAGTCCTTCACTGAAAATAAAAACTGTACTTTTATTTTTTATTTCTTATTTTTATTTGGATAACTGGTTATCTTCACCTTGACTAACCTCTGATGACCCACGAAGGGCTCTCCCACCCCCAAAAACTGTGTATTTTATGCAGAGAATCAATCGGAAAAAATATCATCCACTTTCCCAACAATTTTCCTAACCCGGTAAGAGTTTTAAATCTCTTCCGATTCTTTTCCTTTCCAACCACTTCCATCTACCTAATGCACCTTATTGGTATAACTTCAGACTGAGGCACTGGTCACTACAACAAAAGGTGGTTTTTGGGACGGCACTCTTTTCCGACTCCCAAAATTTAGTCAGAAAAACCCCTTTTTAGTGACTCTAAATTTTTGGAGTCAGAAATAAAGGGGTCAATTCCGACGCCCACTAGTAGGGGTCGGAAATACACCATTCCCTCCATTTTTTATTCACCTCCCCGCCTTTTTTTTTGGGTCCCCGGGTTTTTTTGGGGGCAAAATGGTAAAATTGATTTTTTCCGACGCTGAGGGGGGTTGGAAAAGTCTAAACGACACCGTATATTCCCCAGATCTATTATTACTTTTAAATTTTTTTTCAGATAATTTGTTAGACTGCCTTTGGGTCGCCGATAACCACACCATGCATTTTCCCCAAAATTCTTTAACTCCATTTCAGCTCGAATCGCAATTTGTTCATCGTCAATCGTTTGCCTTCTGATCATCAAGCATTTCATCAACGATCGTTTGCACTCTTCATCCTCGAGTTTGTACGGTGAGTTTGTACTATCGTTTGAGATTTGAAGAACAGAATAAGAGTTTGTGAATTTTTTTGCTTCAATTTTGGTCTTCAAGGCTTTTAGATGTGATGGTTAATCTGTATGGTTTCCAGATCTTATCTCCCGTCAATTTTCTTAAACACGAGTTGCGAGAATATTTCCAAAGTGTGTTCCCTAACCCGTCGAGGTAACGAAGAGTTCCACAAATCTCACTCACTCACTCTTCTCTGGTACGATTTCTGTTGAACTTCTTCACTTGCCGTAATTTTACTCTACTTTTTTTTTTTTTTTCCTTGCATTTTCATTTTTTTTGGGTTCTATATACCTATATGTGTGTGTGTCTGTGACTATGTGTGTAGGCAGGAAGTTTAGAAATGAAAGTTCAATATATATACACACACACACACACACGCACACACACATATAGATATATATTTGTATAAATTTGAATGCTTAGGCAAACCAGAGAAAACGATGATTAGCTTATATAAAATTCAAATATATTATTAAAGAATCGCCAACATCAAATTGAAATTTGAACCAACTGATTGTAGTTTTAATGATGTGAATCTGCACATCAAATTGAGTTTGTGAATTTTTTCTAAATGGTTGCTTGATAATACCTTTGAAGCACAGAGTATGGAATGTACAAACAATACACCACAAATAATTTGATAATCAACATGGTTTGTTTGCAAAATAATTTTTGGAGTTTTGATTTGATTATGTTCTTCATTTCATTGTCTTTTACAAATCGTTTGATTTTTTATTTATTTATTTATTTATTTATTTTTCTTTTTGACTGTGGCTTTCTTTCAGCTAGCTTGCTGTTCATTGAACTGATATTGCTGCCTGCTACCTTTGGAAGGTAAAACACATACTTTGTTTTGTATTTCGCTTGTCCATATTATAGAGAATAGAAGTGAATTTGCTACTGCTACATTTTAATTATATTTTGCTGTTGTTGGACTGTTGAATATCTTTCTTTTTAAAATTGTATTCTCTTTGTTCTTGTATGCCCTGTTTTTGTTAGTAGGGTTGTGAACTGTAGTAGTTAGTATTATTAGGAATAAAAGAGCTTTCAATAGTCACATGAAACATAGTTACATTTGTGTTTATGGCAATGGGTACAATCTCATCAGCAAGAGCTAAACACTATGCAATTGGTTCCTTCTGGACAAACCACAAAAGCACCTTCACGAAGCGGGGTCTATGAACTTTTTGTGCTTATAAATACCAATTCGATGCTGCTTTAGGGTTTATCTACTCTTTTTTCACTGAAATTAAGATTATTCACTTTAGCACATTTCTGATTTATCCAGTATATATATATATATACACACACACACACAGTTAGCCAGTTTTAAATCTTCCCAAGCAAACACATTTTGAGGCAATTTGTCTGTTGTTTTATGTCTTGATTAATTAATATATTGTTCTATGTGTATTTAGATGGATAAGAGTTGGATGTAAATTCCAACTAGGGTTCATCCACTGTATTTGCAAGGAATAGAAGATTTCATTCAATTTGCGAGTGGTCATGTGGATGGTTTAAATAGAGCGCACTGTCCATGTCGTAGTTGTAAAAACAAGCTAGGAAGGCAACTAAAAGAAGTGGAGGATCATTTATACAAGTATGGAATGTATAAACAATACACGACTTGGATATATCATGGAGAGAGTGTTCAAAACTCAAATAATGATCAAGTTGAGCTTGGTGTTAATGATATAGAAGACCAAAGTGGAAATGCTGATGAGGTGCATGAATACTTGGAAGACATACGGATTGGAGAATACATGAATATTGAACAAGAAGATATTCAACATAATAGTAGTCCACTTAATATCCCTGAGGGTGAGGGGGAAGGGGGTGCAGATAGGTTTGCGAGATTGTTGCAAGATTCACAATGTGAGGTGTATCCAGGTTGTCAAAAATTCACAAAGTTGTCTTGTATTCTTAGGTTACGCCATCTAAAAGTTATGAATCGATGGACTAACAAGTCGCTCACTATGTTACTTGAGTTTCTTAAAGAGTTGCTGCCAAAAGATGAGACATTGCCAAAATCCCATTACGAGCTTAAAAAAATATTGCGTGATTTAGGACTTGGCTATGAGACGATTCATGCCTGTAAACATGATTGTGTACTCTTTTGGAAGGAATATGAGCATAATGAGGAGTGTCCTAAATGTGGTGCACCTCGGTATAAATTCCATGAAGGCAAAAGGAAAAAAGTTCCTCAGAAGGTTCTTCGATATTTTCCCTTGAAACCAAGGTTTCAAAGATTGTATATGTCAAGAAAGACCGCGAAAGATATGAGGTGGCATAAGGAAAAACGTGTTAAGGAGACGAATGTTTTAAAACATCCGGCAGATTCTAGAGCTTGGGAGGAATTTGATAATCAACATGGTTGGTTTGCAAAAGACCCTTGAAACATTCGATTAGGGTTAGGAGCTGATGGATTTAATCTATTTGGTAACATGAACGATGCATATAGTGTGTGGCCTGTCTTTATTGTAGCATACAATGTGGCACCTTGGAAATTGATGAGGGATCCATATGTGTTCATGCCGTTGCTTATTCCCGGTCCAAAATCACCTGGAAAGGACATTGACGTGTATTTGAGACCATTGATAGATAAGTTAAAAGAATTGTGGGTGGATGGTGTCTCAACTTTTGATGCATGTACTGGAAGAAAATTTAAATTACATGCGGCATGTCTATGGACTTTAAATGACCTTCCTGCTTTAGCGGATTTGTCCGATTGGTGTACGAAGGGGTACATGGCATGTCCAAGGTGCATGGACAACACAGAATCAGTGTGGTTGAAAAATGGTAAAAAGATTAGTTACCGTGGTCATCGACGCTGGTTGGATTTGGATCATGACTAGCGGAATCGTTCGAAGCAATTTGATGGTTATAAGGAGCACAGATTACCACCTAAGGAGTTGTCTGGGGATGAGATTCTAGAAAAATTAGAACAATTAGATCATATAAGGGATGTCAATTTCGAGAAGGTACCAAATATTAAAAAGAGGAAACGTACTACAATCGAGCTTAATTGGACAAAAACAAGCATTTTTTTTGAATTACCATATTGGAGATTGCTCAAGTTACAGCACAACCTTGATATCATGCACATCGAGAAAAATATCTGTGACAATGTGTTGGGGACCTTGATGAATATTGAAGGGAAAACAAAAGATAGTTTGAAGGCTCGTCTGGATTTACAAGAGATGGGAATAAGAAAAGAATTGCATCTTATCTCTACTGGTGCAAAATATGTGATGCCACCTGCATGTTACACACTGTCAACAAAAGAAAAAAAGGAGTTTTGTGAATGGTTGAAGACAATTAAATTTCTAGATGGATATGCATCTAACATATCTCGGTGTGTTAATGTTGCAGAATGCAAAATATACGGGATGAAAAGTCATGACTCGCATGTTCTTCTGCAGCGACTCTTACCCATCGGCATTCGTGGTTGCTTAGATCATGATATTTGTAATGCATTGGTTGAACTTGGCATTTTCTTTAAGGAGTTGTGTTGTAGGACGTTAAAGGTTGAAGTGCTAGAAGCTCTTGAGAGGGATATTGCTCTTATACTTTGCAAGTTAGAGATGATCTTCCCTCCAACATTTTTTGATATCATGGTTCATCTTGCTGTGCATTTGCCCCGGGAGGCACTCATAGCTGGTCCTGTACAATATCGATGGATGTACCCTATTGAAATATTTTTGTGCACTCTTAAGTCATACGTGCGCAACAAAGCACGCCCGGAGTGTTTAATTGCTGAAGCTTACGTGGATAGTGAATGCATAACTTTTTGTTCTTTGTATCTCAGTGGAGTTGAGACACGGTTTAACCGTGAGGAACGGAATTATGAGGGAGATCAAACTGTGCAAGGAGCTTCCTTGTATGTATTTAGACAAGTCCTTCGTCCATTAGGTTCCTCAAGTTATGATACATTGGATTTGATGGACATTGATAGGGCTCATTTATATGTTTTGAACAACTGCGATGAAATCCAGCCGATATTGAGGTTAGTTAATTTTATTTGATTTTTCATTTTCAATAATTTTACATCTTCATATATTTTTTATAATCAATTGCATGTAACATTTTAAAATATATATGTATGTAGAGAATATATGGAACTTTTACCACAACCAGCATAATCCACGGTAGAATGAAGGCATGCACTGAAATTTCCAATTTGGTTTGAACAACGTGTAAGTGTTTATTGCTTTTCTCTATTGTTTCTAATTATATAATTTATTGTATTTGGAAGTAATTATTTGTTAATATGTATTGTGTTTGTAGATCAAGCAACTGAGACAACTAAAGGACTCATCAATAAATGATGATACTTTTTCATTAGCATGTGGACCTGAACGACGAGTCAAACGATACTCTGGTTGCATTGTAAATGGATCAAGATTTCACACAAAGGATAGGGAGCAAAATCGAAAAACTCAAAATAGTGGTATATCTGTTAAATGTGAAGGCGTTGAATATTATGGTGTTTTAACAGATGTAATTGAGTTGAAATACATTCTAGGTAGAAAGGTTTTCATTTTCAAGTGTGATTGGAGGGATGTTACTACAAAGCTGGGTATACACAAAGATCCCCACTTCACTAGCGTTAATGTATCACGTCAATCGTACGAGGATCAGCCGTTTGTTCTACCTCAACAAGTCCAACAAGTCTTTTATGTGAAGGACACCAAATTACGGGGTTCATGGGAGGTGGTTCAGAAAATAACTTGTAGAAGAATATTTGATGTTTCAGTGGTGGAAGATGGAAAGAGAGAGGAAGAGGAAGATGAAAATAACACTGAGAATGATGCATATCAAGAGTCTGAGCCTTGCATTGTTGATGGGGTTGTACAAGATTGCCCAAATATAGATCAATTGTCGTTAAATAGGGATGACATCCCCAGTGATCAGATTGATGTAGAAGTTGTTCACAAGTGTAGGCAAGACACCCATGTGGTTGACAATGAAGATGTTGAACTATTTGATTCCACCACTGATGAGGAATATACTTTGCCTACTGATGATGATACTGACGAGAGTGATTGGGAAGAGGGATAGTTTTTCAATTTTTTATTTTATTGTTTTTCGTTAGTGCTTTCTCCCTTTGGTTAAATTAAAACAAAATATGGTGAGATTTTACCATTTAGTTGCAGTTTATGTATGTTGAGGTCTGTATTCTTACATATCATCTCTGGCTTACATGAACCAATGATACCATATTTTATTTTATTGTTTTCCTTTACTGAGTTTACTTTTTCCTTGGAATTGATTTTTTAAATTTTGCTTCTTTTTGTTTTTGCCTCTATTCACTTTTTGAAGGATATCTGAAAAGAGTTAGATCTGCTAACAAGTGTTGCTGGATCAGGTATCCTACAATTTTTTGTTTTCCTGCACATAAATCATGAGGTCTGTATTCCTTGTCACCGTTTTTTCAAATATCTAGCATTCGAGTGTTTCCTCCTCTTATTTACATGATACATACATACAAACCTACTCACACATGCAAATAGAATAAACTTTGTACTTTAGTTCAATATATATATATATATATATATCTTACTTTCGAGAGCTGTTTTCCAGGTATTCTTATGGCTTCAACCAATGGTTCATCAGGTATCATTATTTTTTGAAATTAAATATTATTTTACCTGTTCCATCAATTTTCTTTCTAAAAACTGCTTTGCATGTAGATCATTAACACTTTTTAAATATTATTTTACCTGTTTGAGGAATGAGATCAGTACTAAATTTAGTCTCCAATTTGAAGCAATTCTCTGTTGTTTGCTTTGTTGACTTTATAGTACCTAACTGCTAAACAACCCCATTGTGCTGGATTAAGAGTTTCTACATTTAATTTTTGCTGTCAACAGAACAACTAGTTTAGCTTTTAAATATTCTGTTTAAAAGTGCACTCACAGCAAATAGAAAGGTTCACATTGGTTGTTATTATGAAAATTGCCTAAAAATTCTTCTAATGTCTTTAAAGAATTTCTGGATTCTAGTTTGAAACTTGATGCTTAATCACAAATATTTCTTATATCAGCTTCCTCGGGAACCTCATCTTAATAGTCAACTATATACTAATATTCAAGTTTATTTTACAATGCACATAAAACTTTCATCTTTTGTTGCTGGTAAAGCTGTTTAGCAGTTAGAATTCAGAATGTATTATCGAAAAGTGAGAAAAATCTCTCTCTACCTACATGTCAATATTGTTGGGATTTATATGCCCTGGCATAGCAAATTCCTATCTGGATTGTATTGACATATGTTCCTGACATATCTGAAATATTTATGATTTATATAATTGGTGAATTCAATGTATTATATTTCGATTCACTATGAAATTGATAGTGTCCATGTAATTACAAGAAATATTTATATATATGTATGTGATGGCAATCAATGCATGATATATAAATAGTAATTATAAATTGTTCATAGTCGGTAATTATGGATGGACTCATAATTAATTAAGACTTGAACTGGATCCGCGTTAGGTTGAGATATATTGCGAGAGCCGTCGTATGCAATTACTCCCTATCATCATCATGGCATTTGACTTTTAAGCATGAGAAAAGTATAGACTCTTTTATTAATTAATAATTACTTTGATTTGTTCGGCGGATTCTTCGGGATCCTTAGACCGACACTTTGGGTAGTTATGTAATTAATAGTTAGAGGGTTATATTTTCAATATTTGTATCATTGCTACTTGTATTTATTTTGTATTGATTATGGTTGATCACAAAGTAAATTCGAAGGCCTTCATGTGTTTTTAGACAAAATGATTTATTATATATTTATTTATTTAAATTATTATTTTTGTCAAATAAATGTTTTATTGTGATCGAGCCAGAAATAATCAAAGGTACCAAAATAAATATATTAATTAAGTAGTCGGATTGATGGCTATATTTATCCGATAACTAATTATGCATAGAGGGGTCAAAGTGCAATATTGACTTAGAGGTTATTTATTATTTAATTAGAGTTCAATTAATTTCTTTTAGTGGAGTAGAAATTAATTTATGAATTAATTGAATTGGGTCCATGGACCGGGCCAATTATTAATTCATTGTAGCCAATAAAATAATAGGCCCAATGGATTCTCACTCATAGCCCAACTTGATATTGGAATCATATTAGATTTGAGACATATGAATTAGAGATGGAGAATGATTTGTTGTTTCCTTTTCTTTATTTTTATGTTGTCTATAAATATACATGGTCTATGTATATTTTAGGGGGTGATTTTTATGAGCAGGAAAAAGGAATAAATATTCTCTCTCTAGAAAATTAGGGTTTATGTTCTCATCTAATGGAGGCTCCCACAAGCCTAGTTTTCCAAGGTAATTCATGGAGGCTTATGAGTGATTCCTAAAGGCAAAATAATTACCAAGAAGATGGAGATCCAAGGAGAAGGCATCTTGCTAAGGGATCTACAATAAGTGAGAACATTCACTTTAGAGGAAAGTTTTAAAGGTTTACTCAGACCTTTGATGTAAGTATTCAATCCATTAATTGAATGATACATCATATTTTTATTTTTGCATAAAACTTGTCTCTATGTGATGAATCAAGATCTATGAATCAAAATCCCTCGAAAAGTTTTTAAAACTTGCACGTTTCCCAACAGTGGTATCAGAGCATGGTTTGATTCATTACTAGAGATCATGATTTTATGAAAATCATCATTCATGGATCCAAAAATAATATTCATATATATTTTTTGATGTATGTTGATGTATGATTTAATATGTTGATATATATTGATACATAATGATGTATGAATAATTGTGAATGAATGATGATGTATGGTTGGGCCATGGATGAAGCTTATAGGTTAAATTAATGTAATTTTATCTTTGGATGAATGTAATTAAGGCTTTGATTTAGCCGTTTGAAAGTTCAATGATGTAATTTAATTTTTTCCATTGTATTTTAAATTGTAAATATTTTTAAAGCCATGTAATCTTCATCAAAGGATGCTATGAAGCTTCAAGAAGGTCCAAAAGGATTAAATTATGCTTCAGTAATTTTCTGGAATTTTTCCGAATTTTTTGGAATTTTTCTGGAATTTTTTGAGGCTTAATTTAATTTTCTGGCATTTTTCCGGATTTTTTGGAATTCTTTCGGCGTTTTTCCGGTGGCCGGAGCTTCGCCTGCGGCGAGAAGGGGCGTCGGAGGTGGCCCGAATCAGGTGTGGCGTCAAGATGGTGAGCCTGGCGCGTGTTCCACACGCGCCAGGAGAGTGCACATGCTGGCGCGTGCATTGCACGCGCCAGCCAAGGTAGCATGACCTCCACGCGGGTGAAGGCGCATGGAGGCGCGTGAGTGTGCATTCCACGCGCCCCAGGTGCGTGCCGGCGCGTGGGAGCGCGTGGGAGCGCGTGGGAGCACGTGCAGCTTGCCCTAGGCGCGTGCCAGCGCGTGTGGGGTCCTCCGGGCTCGTTTCAAGCGGCGTTTTGCTTCTCCTGACGCGTACAAGCTTCCTATGGGTGTTTACAAACAGTTGAAGGATACCCGTACAGCAAGAATAGTTTTTAAATGTTAAAAGCTGAATCCATTGGCCATTTATATTGCTTCTGTCTATTATTTGATGCATGGAATAATTTAATAGTTGTTATAATTGTTCATGCATTGGATCCATGATTTTTAATTAAATGGCTTGATTTATATTAATTAAATTATGAAGATAAATTGGATTAGATTGCTAATTAATTTGAGGGTATTTATTGGGAAACAGAAAAATTATTTTTAAAGTGTGCTTCAAATTAAATATTAGTGAATCGTTTAAAGTCCAAATATTTTCTAAATTTAATTGGATTAAAATCAAGACGTTTTGCATGCATTATATCATGTAAATGAATAAAATGAAAACCCTAATTATGAATGATTAAAAATTGAGTGGGAGCAGGGATTTTTATACATTGCTCCATGGCCTTTGTTATTAATACCATTGTAATTAGATCTTCAAAAATAAGGCCCCACGCATGATTTGAAGAGTCTTAATATTACAAGAATGGTGTCTCATGAAAATAATAATATTAAATGTTCATTGTACTTAGATCTTTAAAAATAAGGCCCTACGCATGATTTAAAGAGTCTAGATTATAATGACAAGATATTTAATATTTTATTTTTCATTAGAGCATTAATAACGTTGTACACTCAATCTAAAATCAATAGTGTTAGCTTCCCAATGAAGTGGTCTATACTAGGTGATTTTAGAAAGACTAAATTAAATCGGGAATCATTTCATATGATAGACAAGGCATTGTCTTAAGAGATATGGAAATGATGGGATTTGTCCGCCAATAGCAATAATGAACTTCGCCAACCGAATAAGTTATTGGCGTATTGGTTATTCAATTTTTCATGCAGTGGTTAAGGGACTCACATATTAATATTTTAATGGAAGTGCTCACTTAATAGTAAATGAATCTCAACAATAGTAATAATGAACTCCTCCAACAGGATAAGTTATTGACATATTGATTGGTTGATTTATTATGCTACAGAGTTGAGGGACCCGCATTAATTAAAAGGGATTGTTCACCAATAATGATAATGATCACTTGTTCGATTGAGATTTATTATATTATGTGGTTAACAAACTCATTTTAATTTTAAATATGCATGACAGAATTAATAATTCACCTTGCATGTTGTATGAATGCATTTATATTCAGATGAATTATATTTAATCCATTTTATCTGCTTGCTTACATATTCTATGATATTGGACCTTATTTATAATGACTGGAAAATGAGCTTAGATATTTTATTCACAACGTAAGGGTACAAAATGTGTTTATTACTCCTATACCTATCTCTTTTACTTTGAGATACCAAATTTGACATTAATGCTTTTAATAAATTAGATAAGGCAAATGATATGACTTGGTGCAATATTCTAGAGTTTAGCTCGAATATACTCCAAAGCTAACATTTGTATTATTTTATTTTCTTCAAGCATCATATTAAATGTCAATGAGATATTTTGGTGAGATTAGATAGAGCATATGCCTAAGTACTGTGTCAAATTTAAATAC